TGCGAGTAACTAGATGCCCTGTTACACCGAGGATTGTCTCTGAGTCGAGCTTGCCGATATACACATTCTATTGAAGTCGCGTATCCATTTTGCCACGTTTGACGTCCTTCGTGTGCTGTAGCAAGAGAGAGAGAGAATGAAACGAGCTAGAAGTCTTATAATCGTGTAGCCATGACGAAATTCGTCATCAGTATTGAAGCCGTATAAAGCAACCTACGCGCAACCTGTTGCGTGTGGCCCACACTCCAATTGAATTCACGAAGATGGAGAAAACGATTTTCTGCTAAATTCCTGATGGATGGTGGCGGATACTTGCAACATGTTTAATAGATGGCAATGGATGCTTCTTGCTAGTGAAAAATGAGCTTTCTCTTTGTTTATACTGCAAATTAAATACTAGAGTCATTGTGGTCGTGCTTACTAATGCCCAACTATCGTCTCGCCAGCTCATGCTGTTGTTTGGATTGGTAATAATGGCAATAATGTCTATCCATCAAGTCGCCAGTCAGTTTACTGGTAGCACAACGCTCTTTGGAAATTCCCAGGCAATTCAACCGTCGACGAAGCGGTCTCAGATGATTCCAGCGACCTCCAGTACAACGTCGACGTCTTCTTCGTCCGGCTCAAGTGGTGACAAGTCCAGTGATGATGGCAGCAGCTCCTATAGTTTCCTGGGTGGAAAAGATGGAGAAAATAGCGACAGTGGCAGTTGGAGTTGGAGTATGGAGTCGGGGTCTGGCAGTTTGAGCTTGGAATATGAATGTTACTGCCGATCGGTCCGTCGTGTCTCGCTTATGGGAGCTTCAGACTACTGCCTCGCGCCAAGTGCTTTACCACGTTCTGGCAAACGACTTTTGTTGTGCACTGGACAACAAGGATGAGACGTACAAATGCGTGGCCAACAAGAATGACTTGGAGCTCCAAAAGAACGGTAAAAAGAAGAGAAAATTTTTAGTCGCCACCATGGGCCAGAGTCGTCTATGAGCATGGCTTCACCGCATCTGCTATGGACGGCGCGTCAAGTACTGGCGGTCGTGGTTTGCATGGCATTCGGAATGATAGCTGTAGTGTAGGACGTACACACTAGTTGGCGGTCTGTTTAAGTTGATTGTCACGGCTACAAGTTCTACAGACTGCGTTGCTACAGAATGCGATGCTACAAAATGAACGCTTATAACAGCACATTTATTAAACATAGGAGAGTTGTTAGCTGCATAGCCCTATGCTATTATCGTCAGTGGGTCTCATAGACCAACCATGATGAGTTGGGTTACCATCCAGTGTTGTATCAGAAGTTGATGTCTTGACAAAACGAACCGTAAGACTATTACAGAACAAATATAACAAGTAAACTCAATAACGTCAGAAACGTGTTAAAGTTATTAAAAGCTATGATGACTAGTCGAGGCTTTTGACGCAGCAAAGCCACCAATGTTCTCCAATCGCCAAAGACTATGCGCATAAGTCGCGGAATCAGCAGCTTTACTGGGACAAGCGACCCCCTGCTACGTCATTCATCCGATTGATCTCCGTCCCTTTATATAATCTGTATTTAATTGCAGCATCCTGTAACGCACTGCCAAAAACCGTTTTCAAATGCTCTTCTTTCATCTCAGCCGCGGTTTGAAGCACATCATTGACCTGAATACCCGTGTTCTGCCATTGTCTCAGCAGTTTCGATTTCATTTCTTCTTCTAAAATCAGGGTTGCATCAGATTTGTAATACTTGGTCAACAAATCACGCAAAAACGGTTGTTCAAGACGTTTTTTCAATAACGAAAGCATCGAAACGTTGGATGTCTCGGGTTTCTTAGATTTGTAGAAGGAAAAGTAGCTCGTCCAAAAGTGGAATAGATGGTTGACAAAAAGGCTATATCCGACCTTCTCAAGGTCGAGCCTAGTAAAGACATCATCTGGAGTAAGGCCTGCGTGCCACCAAAATTCTTTTATTTCGCCTTTTACTCGCAGCGCGACTGCGTCATTTGGGACCCTGGCCGCAGCGGCCACCAAAGTTTCAATCGAAAGAAATTTATCCATTTGAGCAAGCAAGGATTGAGGCACCATAAGGTCAGCGTGTCTTCTAGAATAAAAATCCTGGTACCGGACCCAGTAGACCATCTGCGGCTGTTCGAAAAGGGTGTCTCCTACAAGGTCAAGCTGATACAATTTAAAAACTGTCGGGGGGTCTAAATTCTCCGCAGCAAACCGTTCGTTCGCTTCTTCAAATATCATGGGCATCTCCTCTTCATTAAATTCATCCATAACGGTGTTAAACGCGTATGTAGGTCTCGAGTTTGTTTCCTGTAACTTCAGCAGTTTATCCAAAAAAATGTCGGTAGGAGAAGGCTTGTATAAATCAAAGTTTGGGATCTCCATTCTATACTTTTCCACCAAATTGTGAAGGTTTGAGGTAGATATTTCCTCTTCTCCGCCCAAGTTGAGGCTATTCATCCTCTCTTCTTTGTCTTTGCCGTGTGCGCGCTCTTGAACTCTCAAGTGCCTCACGACCTCAAATTGGTCATCTGTGACGTGTGCACCAACACCCACTGGACGGGTAGCAACAGCGAAAAAGATTAGGACGCAGGGAAGGTGCATTGTTTGGTGCTTGCGGGTTGGCGGCCAAGTTTAGAAATGACAAAGGGCGACTGTGATGTGACTGAAGGAGAGGTAGGTAAAAACACGAGATCACGAGCGGATGGGAGAAGCAGACGAGTCTATTTAGGTTGCTGTCGATTCTAATCCTAGTTAGCATCGCTGGACTGTGTTCAAGCCCCGGCTCTCGAGATTGTCTGGCTATGGCACGTGGCATGTCATCAGACGGGTTCCTTGTATTTTTGTGTCGGTTCGCCGACACTCTCGCTTCACAATGGCTCGAAAATGTCACATGGTGGTTTCCCAGAATTCATAAATGCTGCCGGCGATGGCCACGTCGGCTTGCTGGAATGTTACTCGTTTGCATTGTGGCGCAAAGGCTGTACAGAATGTCCCATAGGCGGCCCAACCTCGCCGAATTGTCACGGATTGACTGTTCTTGGACCACTTTTAAATAGTCCTGACGCGCGTTTCCCAATTCGCGTCTTCGAGCAATAACGGCCAAGAGACGAAGACCTTTAAAGAGCCGGTCAACCGGCCCCCTCCGACCAGGGCGGGAAGTCCCTCCAACGGGAGGCCCAGGATAAGAGGGGGGAGGTTTTCCCTCTGCTGCGTGCGCTATGGGGGGCAAGCGCAGCGTGCGAACCGTAAGGGGAGCAGCAACCCTGTTACCCCCGGGGGGAGAGGATCGACGACCGCGGTTATTATTCCCTCTTTCCCCAATAGTTCCTGCTATTCTACGTCAGCCTTCAAGACGCCGATTCGATCGCTGAGCGCGAATCTCGGTCCCACGAAGTGAACTTGCCAAGAACGTGAATTGATCGGCCCCGTCCAGGTGCATCAGCGGTCGATCGGGACTGATCGGTGTGGTGCCCGGCGCTTGTTGCGATCATTGAGCCACTGTTTACACCTCGGGCTGGATACCCGATTCCACGTGCCCTTTTCGGAGTGTCCCCCGTGACGCCCGACGTCTCGAGCCAGCAGATTGAGCCAGCGAGGCGAAGAATGACGAAGTCCTGGTAGAAGCACTCCAGACATCTTACCAATCCTTAATGTTTGAAATAGACGGTCTGTTCTTCTCTTCTCTCTAGTCCTGACGCGCGTTTGCTTGCACTAAAGCTTTGAAGACGTCCAGTCTCCCATCTTTCTCCTATCCTATGTATGGTAAATGACCTTCTGCCAGCAGGCTTGCGCGCATAAACATGTGTTCTAGTGCTTCTTTACTTTTAGCAGTACTGGGGCTTATGGCAACTGGTATATAGTTATAAACCATCGTGCGTGACAGGTTTTTAAGGTTTCAAGGCTATACCATGGGAAGTGTCACCTGTTTGACCGGCTGTCTGACAGCTTGACATGTGGGAAGTGGATCGTGAAGAGAGGACATGAAGAGACAGGGCAAACGCTTGACAGATGGGACGGCCAAGCAGCAACTTGACAGTTCCAACAAGGCGACACGGTTGCAGTGTGAGACTACCGTACGAGATGAGCAAATAAGACGAGTGCCATTTTGACAAGTACATGGTCAAGTCGCAGTGCAGCTGGGGTGAATATTGTAGTATGAGCAAACGAAAGGAGTAAATGCTAAATATATTTTTCTTTGGCTTCTACCTAGTGCACAGCATCTATTTCTTACATATCTTGGTCTCATTCTCGCAGCCCACAGATTGGTGGCATCTCTTGCTAAGCTACTATCTGCCACGCACTTCCCTACGCTGAGCCCTGGACCGTCTCCAGAGTTCTTCATCGTAGTTCACGGCAATCCTCCAATGAATTATAATTCTTTTTGCTGTAGAGCAATAACGCTTTACTGGCCTGGGTCTGGGATCACCATGATGCCGCTTATGCAGTCCGTCGTGGTGTATTCCCATGTGTAAGCATTTGTCAGCTGCGTGGGATGGCGCGGTAGTAGATCTGCCCGTACTTGAAGCTTTCCACCCAATACTAAATACACTTTAGCCCAAAGCGAAACTTCATTTCAAAGAGAAAGCTTGGCAATACCATTTAAGCTGCGAAGCACGGGAAGAACAATATTATCCGGTTACTGACGAACAAACAATAAACGAAAAGTTAATTGCATGAGAAGTGTGTTAACCTTCTACAAATTAGCCATCACATCTGGATGCCATCCATCTGGATGGCTAATTTGTAGAAGGTTAACACACTTCTCATGCAATTAACTTTTCATTTATTGTGGCCTTACTGACATAGAGTTAAGAGTACGATACAGATTAGTAAATGAAGCTCGCGTCGATGGTTGCAATGACGACATCTTTCAGTTTAAAGTGTCAAGCATGCGATGTTGAGTTATAATAATTGTGGATGTATAGTGCAGAGCAAAGCGTTAGGTTGTAGATAGTAGCGATTCGATTTTGCTTGACTTGACTAGTCAGAAAAGTGCAATGATTGCTTCAACTAGAGCGAAGGACCGACTTCATGTATGCGTATATTCATTAGAATGTCTTTGTTTCGATAAGTGCAAGTATAGACTGCAAGGCAAGACATACGAAACATAATTCTGGAATCACGACGCGTTTGCGCTGTAGTGAAGGCGTTAGCATCACAAAGCAAAATATTTTACTGAACCGATGACTACGTAGTGGACGTTTCGGGGAAACAAGATGTCATTTTGTGCGGAATTCAAATTACAGTGGTTGATTGCACGCCGTGGCTGGCATTAGCAATTGCTCACATGAGCTTCACGGCATCTCAGCTGTTCCTAACTGCTAATTCTTTGGTGTATCTGCTTCCTCATCGAAATCGCTCCAGGCCTGTCGACCAAAAAGACAATTGACGCCTCAGTCAGCTCATTTGATTCTACAAAAAGTTGAATTAACACGTGCTGACAGATGCTAGTGACGCACCAGTCTATCACTCTTTAGCTTGGTCGGGTCTCGCTGCGGCTCGTGGTCGTCCAAATACTTGATACCGAGGCTTAGCAGCACACACAAAACGGCGTACCCGGCGCTAATATGTAGTAGAGGAGATAGTAAAAAGGGGTTTACAACATTAGAATTATAAAAACACCAAAAAACGCCACAGAGGACGTACCTCTGTCGGGTCGAGAGCTTGGTGAACGGCAGGAACATATAATGCAATACTTGCTAGACTTGATTACATGTAATGGGCTATTACAGCAAAGAGATGGGATATGCTGTGCCTATAATTGTAATTTCTTTACAGTGTGGTGGCCATTGAAAGCGTTTTTTTACCACATTGGCTACCTTTGTAATTATCAGATACACACGCGCTTATGTCGTTCTATGCAAAACCGTAGGTGATGGACTTGGTACCCGCATTTGAAAGTCTCCACATTTTCTCCGTATCTCCCTTAGAAAGATCAAGATATTCATCCCCCACTTCTGGCAGCTGCGACTTGTATTTCTCCCCCCCCAGTTACACTTATTCGCTGAGGTACAAAAACAGGTGCCTGAAGAGACATTTTTTTCAGTGACCGTACCATTGCAAGCTTTTTATACCTCCCATTTTATCGCTTACTTGTCATACGCAATCAAATTCGAAACTTGCTTCATGTGGCCAAACGCTCACCTTCGTAACACCACCAACTTGGCTACAATGGGTAAAACCTCATTTACTACGAATCTACTGGACAGTAATTGTTGCACTAGTCCAAGCAGTGAAGAGGACACTTCAACGACCGTTACGTTGGACAATCCGGTTGAAACAACCGTGACATCGTCGGGCATTCACTCCATGTGGCTTAACTGGAAAAACCCACGCGCTGTTCTGGATTTGTGCACTGAATCCGAGACCGGATCGGCACTTGAGATACGGCGGCAGAAAAATCGCGAGTCCATGCGACGATCACGTCAGCGCCAACGAGATCAATTGCAAATGTTACGTGATGCAGTAACTGATCTGGAAAAACAGTACCAATCGATCCGATTGCGTTCGGAACCGTTGGAAAATGATCAGAATATCACTAGCACAAGCGATCGGAAATATGTCCAAGCTGTCGAATTGTCGAAACAATTAGGTGCCGAGAATTTGTACCTCAAGGCATCAATTCAATATCAGGCGTCGTGGAAATTGGAACTCCGACGCGTGATGGAGACGACCGTGGCCTTGGATGAATTCACAGCATCAGTCTCGAAGCCGCCCTCTCCATTCCCTTTTAAGCTGAAAATGATGAATGAACAGGAGGCCGAATCGGTGTTTGGATTTCACCCGTTTACAGAACGAGACGTCAAGGATGTCATTTTGCAGAATACAAAGTCTGTCAAGCGTGTACAGCACCAACTGCTTAGCAGCAATAATCGTAAGCTTAGTGGTGACAAGTATGACATCAGAGCCGATGAAGAAGTGACCGATGAAGTTTTCGGATCAATTGACCATTCTGAACTATTTGGATGGGACTTGCGCCGACGCGTTCGAGGAAGTGATATGGAGTTCGTCTTTACCAAGCGATTCAAGAAATTGTCGGTCTTGGAGATTATGCAGAAGTCTTGGGTGAATGGAATGCACTTGAAGGGCGCTCAGATGGTCAAATACGATATTCAGAGGCTGGAAATGCTGCAGGAAGTAAACACGAACGCCTACGTGCTCGGTCGCGACGTTCGGTCGCCTGACGAATCACCCGTGTTTCGAACTACGTTATTGCGGTACCGAATGGAGATGACGGGCACGGTGCCTTTGAACGGCTCCTTGCTTGCCGATGAAGGAATTAAAACAAGCTCGAATCTGCGAGCAACTGGTTTTGTGATCGGGACGCAAAGCCTCAACCCGGCGGATACCTCTGGCGCCAAACTACTTCCCGAACGTGCTGGTATCGAGCCGTCGGCACCACTCGTGTGGGCAGAGCTGGCATACTCCATCGAAATAGTGCAAGTGTCCGACCGCATTACTGGAGAAGACAAGTACGTGCAAGTGCGGTGGTCTGGTAAGAACAATTACGGCTCGACTTTCGATGCGCACCGCAACGCGGCGGATATGGTGACGACACTCCTGCGCTGGGAGTTTGGCACCATTGCACCGGCCATACAACTGATCCCGAGTTTGGAAGATGCCAAATCGAAATCAAATTAGTAGGCGTCGTGTCGGTTTCGCTGGGCTGGATAATTTAACGTCGTCGTCGTTTTTCTTGGTAAATGAAAAGTGTAAAGAATACATGTACACACTGAGAGACGCTCGTATGGACAAGCTGAGCTGCAGGCTTCTTCAACCACAGACAAAAGTATCTCTAATTTTATTCGTGGCCATGGCGGCTCCTGACCGCTGTAACATCGAGTCCAAATCCACTTTTCTAATCATCAGATCATTGTTTGTGCAGCTGAAAGGCAAGCAGCAACCACCATCAAACGTGTCCTTCTATCACAAACAAGCAAACCTGGTACTGTACATCGATCAAATTGACCAATTTTTGTAAAATTTCAATTCCAAAGTGCTGGATACATCTTCGATGAATTGGACGGAAAGCCGCATGGCAAGTATTCAATCTTGATCACAAGATCCAGATGCTTGACTGTGCTTGAGTACCGAATACAAAATTGTGACGTCAGAAAAATCGCGATTGGATGCGACAAGTACGACAACGACAACGAGAAAAAGTTGATGAAAATGAAAATCACAGTTACATGGCTGGAATAGCAATACGCAGCGTTGTATGGACGAGTTTGTTAAACAACAACAGGACCTTGTACGTAGCGACATCAACCTTTCTTACCAATAAATTATTATCATGCTGTGGAATTGATCAATAGTTTCGGAAGCTGAGGGCCACGTGGAAGTTACATTTGTAGCCAACTCGAGAAAGTTTGTTTTGAGACGGGCGGACCAAGATAGGCGCAACAGTTCCAACAGCCGGCGTTGGGAAGCGAAGAGGCAGTACGAATGCAACTTGACCGGCTCGATGCATACGAGGCAGCTCAAGTCTTTGGGGTCTACAAGTTGTCTTTGGGGTCTACAAGTTGACGACTGGATTTGACTCAAGTAATATTCCAGCACAGATTAATGGCCACACCCACATACATTGACGTGCCCTCGACACCACCAATGTCGTCTAGTTCAGATTCGGAGGTGGACGATACGATGTAAAAGTCACGGGATACGTTCTGGCCGCACAGAGTGTTGATGTCAGCGGGTCTCATGTTAGCAGGTCTCATTGTGAAGACGAGACTGATGAAAATCTGTGTGGGCACCCCTGTCACTATCGATAGAGTTTTCTACACGTGGTAAACCCCGTCACAGGCGCAAAGTATCAGCAACTGCGCTGGACAGGGCGCACAAAATGATTGCCGAGAGGAACACGCATACCGTAATGCTGGTGATCCATTGCAAGGCATGCTACGGTGGATGTTGCTGCTAACAATCGCACCAGCAAGTCCACTTCAGGTCTCCTGGAAGTTTGTTGCTGCCGTTAATGTTATAGTGTCATACGTAATACCGCCGACCACATTAGTCAATGGTGGCAAAGTTGTCGTACGTGCAACTCTTTCATTTTGGATGCTCTTCTTTCTGATAATTACGATGGGATGATGGACATTTGAGACAATGACACTTGTACCGGATGTCCGTCCTAACCCTACATATGCTGGGGTTAACATTAACAATCATCAGTACATTTTCAAAGCAGAAAATAGCTCGAATCTGGGATTGTGTGTAACTGCAGAAGATACTGATAAGTCGTGTCTACCACGTCACAATTACCAGTCGACGTTACAATTCTATGACGCAGAAAACCCCATAAAACTGGTGTCAGCCACTCATCACTTCCAACAGTGCACCATGGCGGTCGAACCTCAAAGCCCGATTTATACGAAAAATTCTAAAGAATGGAAGCCACTGTTGGACTCCAAGCAATCGCCAAGAATTATCTTGGAAATTACTGATGGTATTACAATATCAGACGAAGCAGAGCCTCGTGTCACTCAGGAGATCAAGACTTTGCTCAGACTCGTGTATCCCGTCGTAAGTATCAAGTTTGTTGATCCATACAGTTTACTCTCATTGAGACATTACGTCGTATGGTAAATTTATATTTCTAACTCTTTTCATACTGCAGGTCGTGACGTCGGCGCTTGAGTTTCTGCCAGGTTTTACATGTATCATTTTGGTAGGACACATTAAGTCTTCTCATACACAACAATATGTGGCTGCTGCTACACTTTCGACAATGGTATATAATATGGAAGCGTGATTATGAAATGCTTTTTGTATCGAATTTAGAATTGATTTGTCGAACGTTCTGTTTTGTTCTGTTGCTGTAGTTCATAAACATTACAGCGTATTCCATTGGGTTTGGGCTAACGTCAGCACTGGATACGCTGTGTTCACAAGCGTACGGTGCAAAAAGGTTTGGCAAGATTGGCATTTATTTTCAAGCTGGATTTCAAATTATCGGTGTTTGTCTTGGACCAATATTTTTCATGAACTGGTACTCGGAAAGTTTCTTACTACTGATGGGTCAAGATCCAGAGGTGGCAAAATTAGCACAGATTTTCTCACGCTGGTCTTTGCCTGGTGTACCATTTGTCTTTTTGTACGAGCTGGTGCGTAAAGTTTTGCAAGCACAAAACATTATGAAGCCACTGGTGGCGATTGCAGCTTTTGGCAATGTCGTGAATATTGTATCAGGATACTTGTTGACGTACCACTCTTCCATGGCGTTCGAAGGTGTTGCTCTATCAAGGTCTTTGGGCAACATGGTGTTGCCGTTGTTGCTAATTCCTTACTTCTATCATCACCCGCACCACTTGAGTCAGTGGTGGCGTGGCTGGAATATGAGGGAAGCTATAGCACATGTCGGACTTTTTTTAAGACTAGGAATTCCTGGATTTTTGATGATGGCGATGGAGTGGTGGGCGTTTGAGCTTCTGACATTGATGGCAGGGGTGCTTCCAAATGCTGTTGTGGCTGTCACTGCTCACGCTGTGCTGGTAAATATCAACAATACCTTATATATGATCTTTGCTGGTCTCGCCGTTGCAGCCAATATCCGTATTGGCAATTGTCTCGGTGCCAACGCACCCAAACAGGCAAGACTTGCGTGCACAGTAGCCTTGCTACTGACCCTGGCCATTTCGTCTATATTCTCAGTAACACTATACCTGTTACGCGGCGAAATTCCAAAACTTTTTCTAGATGACGCTCAAGGTATCACGCGAGCAGCTGGCGTGTTGGCGGTTTGGGCGCCACTAGAAGTGCTGGATGGCCTCAATGCGGTAACGCAGGGCATTTTTCGAGGAGCGGGCAAGCAAAAAGTGGCAGCAACTGTAAATGCGGTAGCCTACTACGTGTGTGGCATTCCTGCTGCTGGACTGCTGGGTTTCCACTTCTTTCTGGGCGTCGAGGGGCTCTGGATGGGTTTTGGTTTCGGCATGTTTGTGGCTGCTTCGTTGCAGTTGTATATGCTATTAGAACGCTGGACGTGGGTGGAGCTCGCCAGAGAAGCACAGAAGCGGACAGCAGAGTGATCATGCTCAGTGAAGTGACCGTGCTCGAGTTAAAAACGTGATGGTCGTACGAATACAGTTCGAATTGAACTAATGTAGAGATGCTTGAGACAACTGAGCTGCAACTTGCAACTGCTTGATTTGTACATGTGATAAGCATTTGCTTTCTTCAAACTTCTAAACTTGGTTTTGTCTTTCGTATTGAACGGATAGTACATCTAGCCTCTTACCATTCTTAGCAGAATACATGGCTCCAATTGTAATGAGCAAGTCTGCAGTCTCTTTATTCATTGCAACACTACATTAACCAGCTTCGGCACGATCTCCGCATCTTTGTTAGTCTTTGTCTTTCTTCACGGTTCCGTGTCTTTTAATTTGCCATGAGCATGTGCTTGATTAGAGCATCCAGTACTTTCAAGGAGCTTTTCTTCATATCCGCTGGCTCCATTGACTTCACCAACTCAAAAACAACCCTCAAGGCAAGCTTTTCTTTAGTCAGCTCTACGTCTTGTGTCAGAAGCTTAATGCTTGACAGGCAACTCCGCCTCTCAATGTCAACAGAGCTTCTCATTTTTCCTTTAGTTCAAAATGACATCGTCCAGTGTCTTCGACCTTGAGAAGAGTAAAAACTAAACATGAGGCTATCGACGTAGATGCCAAGTCCGACAACCATCCTGTCTGATGCAGCAAACATCTACTCGGCAATTGTAAGGGCCACTTTGCCAAAGCAGACCACAGTTTCATGCGGTGTGGTGTTGCTGCTGAAGCTATTGTTAGAAAAAGGCACGGTTGAAGTTACAGTTGAGGAAACGGCTGACGACTTAGGAAGGCGTTCGAGGATCAGTTGAGCGATTGATTGGACAGGTGCGTGGATGGGTGATTGATTGGACAAGAGTGATGGAGAACAAGAACAACTAGTCCATCATGCTAGCACGAAAAAGATAACACTAATAACAATGTCAGAATCCTTTTATCACAGTGCCGCCGACTTCCTCTCTACAGCTTGCATCATGGCAAGCGAACAGGTTATGAGCCCAAGACGGGAAGCAAACGACGACACCAACGCGGCACAGGCGCCGCCGGCAACCGGTCACGAAAGGGCCGCGGCCGCGCCTGCTACGGTCGTCTCTCCTACCGCTCACGCAAGGAGCCCGGAGCCTGACGCACTGGAGAGGGTCCTCAAGATGCTCACGGGCATGGACTTGCGAATGCAGAAGATAGAAGCATCCCAAGCACGCATGGACGAAGACGAGCGCATGCGTGGCGCTCACGAGAGCGAGCTGTTCCGATCAGAGCTCGGGGCGGACTTCGCAGGGCGACTCCACGGCGGCGCAATGGAGCTTGAGGACTTGCACGATCGGCAGTCTCAGCAGCAACTGCGGCGTGCACCAGCGCGGCTCGAAGACCTACGGATGCGAGCGAGAGAGCAGCTGCAGCAGCGTGCTGATCCGTTGCCTCAGCCGCCTGCCCCATTGCCACCATACCAGCCGGCACCAGTGCCTCAGACGATGCCGGCAGCTCCAGGGCAGCCAGTACAGCAGCAGCAACAAGTAATGCCGATGCAGTATCGCACTCCGGATGCCAGGCAGCGCAAGCTGGCGATCCGCAAGTTCGATGGCACTGAGGTGTACGTTGGACTCGGGTCCGGCTTCTTCGACTGGGGCAAGACGTTTTGGCGCCAGGTCGACATGGCACAGGAGTCTTGCGGTTTCCTGTGGAGCGAGAATGTGAAGACTGACGTGCTCGGGCAGTAACTCACTGGCACTGCCGAGCGGTATTTCAGCAAGCAGGTCGACACGTGGTGGGCCGTGCTGCCTACATTGCAGTACGTGATGCAGCGCATGCTGGACACGTTCAAGACGACGATAACCGCCGCTCAAGCGATGAAACTCTTCACGGCGAAGAAAGAAAGCAAGAGATCCTGGCCAGAACACTACTTGTATCTGGTCGCTGTCAGCGACGCTGCGGGCGGCGCTGAGCAGCAGGTTCTGGACAACATCGTGCGCTACGCCTCGTCTGAGCTGTCTACAATACTCATGGCGAAGTACCAGACGCACCGCACCGACTACCTCGTGCACGCGGAAGAGCTCGCGCACTTCGCGCAAGCAATCGAGATGGAAGCTAGATCAGGAAGATCCTTCGGGAAGGAGGTCGTCGCGCACGTGGACGAGTCCGTGTCGCGCAAAGAGACACGCACTTGCCACGGGTGTGGGAAGGTCGGTCATCTAAAGAAGGACTGTCGCAGCAAGAAGAATGACGACAAGAAGAGGGGAAGAGGCCCAAAAGACGGCGGCAGCATCACGCTAGCTGTTGGTGAAGGAAGAGGTCGCAACGGCTCGCGCGCCACCGGTCAAAGCCTGGCGATGGGGATTGGTGACGACAGCGATGACGAAGATGACGACTGGATACTCGATAGCGGTTCCAGCCGCCACCTTGTGAACGACGCAACCCTGCTGCGCGACGCGAGGGACTGCGATCAAGAGTGCCACTTGGCAGATGGGGAGACCATCAAGTTAACGCAAGTCGGAAGCGTCGTGCTGACTGTGCTCGCGAGAGGACAGCAGCAAGATGTGACGCTGACGGACGTGTATCTGGCGCCCGAGTTATCGCGCAACATCATGTCCTACGGTAAGCTCGAGATCAAGGGTTTTGGGCTCGTCTACGACGGCGAGTCGCGCGTGTTGGCACGACGCAGCAATGGCCAAGTCGCGTTCGATGTGGCGATGGACCACAATGTGCTCTACGTCCAGACAGTTGCAGCGGCTCGCGAGCGACGAGCGCCTAGAGACGCGCTCATGGCGATCCTGACGAGCCAGGCAGCTCCGGAAGAACCCGAGTCGGACACGCAAAGCGGCTCGCTGCTGCACTTCCACCAAAGGCTTGGGCATCTCGCGTACGACACCGTCGAGCGCATGGCGAGAGACCCCGCGTCCGGCATCGTGCTAACGGATCGCAAGCGCCCGACGTGCATCTCTTGCGCACAGGGCAAGCAAACAAGGAGCGTGCAGTCGAAGAAGGACACTGGATCAAACTCGCCGATCGACAGAGTTGGCGGGGTGATCTGCTCAGACCTCAAGGGTCCGATGACCCCGAAGGATCGATTGCACAATCGTTACATTGTCAACTTTGTCGATCATAAGTCGAACTACTGTCGCGTCTTCCTGGCGCCTACAAAGGACAAGGCGGCCAAGAAGTTTGAGCACTTCCTCGCGTTCTTTGAGCGCCAGTTCGACTGCCGGATCCACGTGCTACGCACTGATGGCGGCGGCGAATACGCGAATGTAGACCTCTTCTGCAAGCGAACGGGCGTCGCGCGGCAGATCAGCGAGGCGAGGAATCAGGCGTCAAACGGCAAGGCCGAGCGCATGCACAGGACGATCCTGAACATGGCGCGCAGCATGATCTTTGCCAGCCGACTGCCATTGACGTTTTGGGGCGATGCGGTTGAGTACGCGGCGTACATCCTCAACCGCAGCCCAACGAGCGCGAATGCGAAGCGCGCGTCGCCGATCGAGGTACTGACGAAGCAAGTGCCGGATCTGCGCGACATCGTCGCCTTTGGCTCTATCTGCTCGGTCTACCGTGACCCAGGCAAGAACTCACTCGCGCAGCGCGCACAAGTCGGCGTGATTATTGGGCGGAGCGACGAGACTAAGGGCTTTCGCGTCTTCCTCCAAAAGGAGAACAAGGTCACGATCACGCAGCATGTGCGCAACGTCGAGACGCTCAGCGCAGAGCAGAATGGTCAGCTGCAGCGCGCGCTCGAGTATGAAGATCAAGCCGTGGATCCAGCGGCAACAGCAACAACAAGCAAAGAGTTGCCGGCTGCTGACGATGCCGCATCGCCGACGATACGCAGCGGCAAGAAGAAATCGAAGTCGTGGACACGCGCGGCTCACCGGACGCGCGGCGCTACCAAACGCGCACATGCGGCCGCCCATCAGGAGGAGCCAGCTGGCGACGACAGCGTGGTGGCTCATGTGTATGAGTGCGATCCCAAGAACTACGGTGAAGCGCTACGCAGCACTAAGCGTGAAGGCTGGGAAAAGGCCATGCGCGAAGAGCTCCAAGCCCTAGAAGACAATGGCGTGTGGCGCTTGATCAAGCGGCCTCCGGGAAGCAACACTCTGCACACGAAGTGGGTCTTCAAGACCAAGACCGAGGCGCACGGTGAGATAGAGCGCTTGAAGGCTCGACTGGTCGCCTGCGGCAACGAGCAAGTTTTTGGGGTCGACTACCAGCTTACATTTGCGGCTGTCATGGACATGTCGACCGTGAAGGTGATCTTGGCGCTTGCGGCGATATGGGTTGTCCCAGCAAAGCATGGCGACATCCCCAACGCGTATGTCAAGGCTGACAAGGAAGCGCACTTGGAGATACTACTCCAGGTGCCGCAGGCAATGACAATCGATCAAGACGCGCTCAAGATGGTAGGCGCAGCGAAAAAGAAGGAAGTAGTGCTGCAGTTACGAAAGAGTCTGTACGGCCTTAAGCAGGCTGGCCGACTCTGGAGCTAGCTCCTGCACGCTCGGCTGCTCGAAGCCGGCTTCCGGCAATGTATTTCCGACATGTGTCTATACTACCAAGTCGATGGTGGACAGTTAGTCATCGTGGGCGTCTACGTCGACAATCTACTTGCTATCGGCACGGACGCTGCAGCCGTCGACCGATTCTTCGTCAAGCTCGGCAGCTTGTCGATAAAGGACCTTGGTACCGTTAGCAAGTTCCTCGGCATGCGTGTCACGATTGATAACAGTGGCGGCTACGTCCTCGACCAGGCCGAGGCGATCGGCGAGCTCCTGCGTGAGCATGGGATCGAGGATGCAAACCCGACGAAAGCACCAATTGGGGCTGACTGCTACGACGTGCTACCAGATGACAGCGCGCTGCTCACCGAGACTAAGGTGCAGAAGGCGCCAACAATCAAGACGTTCCAGTCCCTCGTCGGCAGTCTTCTGTGGATCGCGCGTTGCACACGGCCGGACATTGCGTTCGCCGTGCACAAGGCGACGCGTCAGACTCATCAGCCGCGACTCCACGATATGAAGCTTGCCAAACGCATCGCGCGGTACCTGAAGGGGACGCGGGACTACAAGCTTCGGATGGAACCAGCGAAGCACCTCGACGGCAAGATCCAGCTCGAGGCGTACTCGGACGCCGATTTTGCGGCGGAAAAGAGTGACAGAAAGTCCTTGACTGGCGGCATCATCCGCCTGAACGGCATGCCGGTCAGCTGGACGTCGAAGAAGCAAGGCGGCGTCTCGCTCTCGACGATGGAAGCGGAGTTCGTCGCTGCATCGGAGCAGGCGCGCGAGCTTCTTGGTATCAGGGAGATGCTAACCGAGATCGGTAAGCCGCCGGCGCTACCGATGGTACTCCACGTCGACAATCAGGCGGCACTGAAGCAGCTGGCAGGCGAGGCGTCATCTCTAAAGGCCAAGCACATCGATGTTCGCACGAAGTTCGTGTGCGACTTCGCTCGACGCGGGATCATCGTGTCGCAGTACGTCCGCTCGGAGCAACAACTAGCGGATCTTTTGACGAAGGCGCTAGGTGCAGTCAAGCTCGTGGCGCTGTGTGAGATGATCAGCCTAGGTTAGGACGGTAAGTCGTAGCCGAGGAGGAGTGTTAGAAAAAGGCACGGTTGAAGTTACAGTTGAGGAAACGGCTGACGACTTAGGAAGGCGTTCGAGGATCAGTTGAGCGATTGATTGGACAGGTGCGTGGATGGGTGATTGATTGGACAAGAGTGATGGAGAACAAGAACAACTAGTCCATCATGCTAGCACGAAAAAGATAACACTAATAACAATGTCAGAATCCTTTTATCACAGTGCCGCCGACTTCCTCTCTACAGCTTGCATCATGGCAAGCGAACAGCTATCAATGTTTCTGTGTCGTTCTGCACGCGACGCGGTGGAGCTTGCCGAGTTTTATTGCAAACAATCAATATTGACAGCATTGCGCAAGCTGCAAGTGTGTTGGAAGTCTGGATGCCATTTAATATTCTAGATGCAAAAGAAACTGTGCAATGGGCGTGTTTCGAGTTGCCGGTGAGCAAAACTTGGCGCAATCATCAACGCCTACTACGTACTTGGGATCCCTTGCTCCGCTCATTACATTAATAAAATTTCTCAAGAGACCTCGGTGTTCACGTCTTTGGTCAGCAGTATTTGCTGTTCGGATGCGGGTACCACTACGCGTGGCTGAAATAAATGCTAAGTCAGACAAGAATCGTTTACCACAGAGCAACGATACTCGACGGAATGTAAGCAGGTTTCCAATTCCCACATACAGAGATTGTAGAGCTGATCCTTGTCAAAACTGGTGAATGATCGATTCGTGGTCATTGTCGAAACGTAAGTACAATCGAGTCAGCTCAATGTATTGGAAACCGTGTCTCTCATTAACTTGAAGTTGAGTTGCGCATAGCTGTTGAGATAGCATCGGAGAGCCGACACGAATTGGAGGCAATATACGACTCGGCTAATGTCGTCTCTTTGTCACAACTGAAGGCATAACCCGTAGTACGTTGATTTGTTGTTGTTGGATGGAACATCTTTGTTGGAACGCGATTACCGTCCTCGGACATAGAGTCGCGATATACACTGGTTGAATAGCTGTCTGGGACGCCGGAATTGCCGGATACTGCAAATGTACCGGCAGTGCTTGACAGACTCTAGTTTCGCTGCTGTTCATGGTGCTGAGCCTTGACAATCTCGGCATCAGTGTGGCCGAAATCGGTCAAGTAACTGGTTGCATGGACGTCATCCAAGGACATCGACAACGTTTGCTCTTCCACGTGGTTAATAGTGAGACGACGTTTGTACTTTGCGCCTCCCATTGTTTCCTGAAGAAGCTGTGCGAGATCTGGGTGGAACGTACGCTGGTAAAGGTTATACGCAATGTGACGACCGAGCGCTAACGCGCATCCCATGATCAGCACGAGGAGGTATCCCCAATTTTTGGCAGTGGGAATAAACGCTCCATACTCGTCGTAGCCGACATTAAATGTCGCAATGTACGGAGTCTGGGTGCATATGGTTGCGAAAACAAACCATGCCATCATACTTCCAAACCATAAGAAAAACGACAGGACTGTCCATCGATCCGCGATCATCCAAATCTTAATGTTCACGATCAAAACTGTCAGCGAAAATGCAATCATGCCGAATTCCACTCGAGACTCACTGCCTGCCGCCTTGTCGGACGCGTTGAATCCATAAGACATTACCACAAAGATAACCAGCGATTCATAGAAAGCAGCAGCGACCCAGCGAAAGAAGGTGTACATGTTGAAGAAGAATCGATCTGGGCCGCGACGGTACAAGTCCGGGTACTCGATGCTGAATGGTGCTGGCAAGTCCTTATCCAAAACACCCACCACGACAATAGGCAGACCCGTAAAGGCAATGTTATACAGCTGAACACCGATTTCCCAGTACATTTTTGATCCAGAAGCGCCCGATAGGTAGCCGTACCAGTACTGCGCCAGGACAAGTGTAATGTTCTTATAGAACATGTACAGAACCAGTTTAGAAATGCGGATGTAGTTCCAACGTCCGTGAACAAGCAACAGCCGTTCCAGGAATCGAAACTGGGCAATAGCATAGTCACTTGAGTTCACTGCCTGCATACCTTCCTGTCCAGAAATGCCCACACCGACATGAGCAGCCTGGATCATAGCAACATCGTTGGCTCCATCACCAATAGCTAGAGTTCGTACTGAAGTGATATTGTCCCTTACAAGCTTCACCATCTCTGCCTTTTGAGCAGGAGATACACGGTTGCAGATCACGGCACGACATAACTTGGCAAATGACAGCAGGTGTGGCGCGATTTCAGGACGAAGCGCCATCTCCAATGCCTCGCCGTCAATAATTAGCGAGATTTCCTTCTCGGTTCCACCCGCCATTCCTTTCGCATTGTCCATAAACTCACGAGCTGCTGTATTCAGTTTTGTACGGAGCGTTTCCTCATCCGGGCATGTGGTGGCATTTACAACGACTTGCTGAATCGAGTTACCGAGCAGTGAGCATGCATACGAGATGTTAATTGCAGTCTCTTCCTTGTCTCCCGTAAGCATCCAGACCTTGATGCCAGCTTTCGTCAAATTTGCCAAGCATTGCGGAACACCCTCCTGTAATTTATCTTCGATTGCCGTCGCTCCAATCAGCTCCAGTCCTTGTTCAATTTCTTCCATCAGATCATCAATAGCATTTGGCTTCCCATCTTTGCGTCGGTCGATTTCGGCCACGTTACCCTGTGCATCATCGAATCGCACCTTCCATTGTTGGAACCAGTGCGGATCAAGCTTCTTTATGGCAAGCGCCAACGTACGCAAGCCATCGTCGGCGTACTTTTCCATATGGTCTCGTGTAATATTCTTGAGTTTTTGCATTGCAGGGCCATCCTTCAAGCGTTGATAAATCATCATGTCAGCTCCCTTCGTGTAGAGCAACAGCTCCCCTGATGATTTGCGCACGACAACAGACATGCGCTTTCTCGTGCTGTTAAACTCGAGCACGTCCAGCACCTTATAGGTCACGCGTTCTCCTAGAACCTCCACCATCGCAGTTCCTACACTACGACTTTTGAACTTGAACCCTGCAAAGGCTGCGCCAGCCACAAGAGCCTGTTCATCAGGAGATGACGCTGATAGACGAACTTCTCCAGGCTCTAGCTTTTCAGGGATCACTGTGTGACATACAGCAAGGTGCTCGAAAAACTGGAGCATCTTCTCCTTTTGCTCTTCATCAGCACTTCCCTTCATTCCGTCGAACAGTGTCTCGTCAACAAAGTTCACAAACGGTAGTTCCTTGACGCTCGGTCCAGCTTAGGCTCCGATGGATTCGGCTTTCCAGCACGAGTCAGTGCAGCGCGTCCAATTTCCGTCATACCTGAGCCATACCAGCACGTTCTTGACCGAAAGCGGCATGACCTCGACACCACCATCATCACATACCGTGATTTCTACTTTGCCTGCAAATTTGTTGATGTGTGGGTTGGGCTGTTAACATTTGACGACACCGCGCAGCACGGCCAGTTCTGCCGGGTTTGACAATGCGTTCATCGTAGCAGCCACAGCTTGTCGCAGCTTGACGTTTGTTTCTCCATCCATACTCGTGGTCTCCACGTAACAAATGCCGCTCGAAGGTTCACTTGCAGGCTCTGCGACATCAAGCACGAGTACATCTGCATGAATAACTTCTCGATTACGGATCTGTTAATAGTCTTCAACCTTGAGTGATATCTGCCCATTTCCTGTCCACAATCTGTCCGTCCTGAATAACATGACATACCGCTGAGTTGGCTTCATTGTCGGATGTATGTCGCTCTTTCATGACTGCAAACACGGCATCAATCGAGATGCTGGCAGAAGCTCGTATGCCATTAGACAGGAGAAAGATGGGAGATTGGACGTCGCCAAAGCTTTAGTGCAAGCAGACGCGCGTCAGGACTATCCAAAAGTGGTCCAAGAACAGTCAATCCGTGACAATCTGACGAGGTTGGGCCGCCTATGGCACATCCTGAGCAGCCTTTGCGCCACAATGCAGCCAAGTAACATCCCAGCAAGCCGACGTGGCCATTGCCGGTAGCATTCATGAATTTTGGGAAACCAGCATGTGACATTTTCGAGCCATTGTGAAGCGAGAGTGTCGGCGATCCGACACAGAAATACAAGGAACCCGTCTGATGATACGTCAGCGTGCCATAGCCAGACAATCTGAGAGCCGGGGCTTGAACACAGTCCAGCGATGCTAACTAGCATTAGAATAGCCCGCATGTTGAACAGATGCGTCTGTATCTCTTAAGTCAAATCCGCTCGTGATCTCGTGTTTTTACCTACTTCTCCTTCAGTCATTTCACAGTCGCCCTTTGTCATTTCTAAACTTGGCCGCCACACCTCAAGCACGTTTACGCAACCAATCCATGCACCTTCCCTGCGTCCTGATACTTTTCGCTGCTGTTACCCGTCCAGTGGGTGTTGGTGCTCATGTAGAGCCGTCGGACGTCGTCACCTCAGATGGTCAAGTTGAGGTCGTGAGGCAGTTGAGAGTCCAAGAGCAAACACACAGCGAAGATGCAGAAGAGAGGATGAATAGCTTCAACTTGGGCGGAGAAGAGGTGACGTCTTACATCTTAAGCGAGGCATCTACAAGTACAAGCAATTTGGCGGCAAGCCATGAAATGGCGGGCGCCAACATCGCAAATATCAAATCTGGACACGAAACAGGCACATTCTCAATAAACGACAGGGTGAATGACTTTGTGAAACGTGCGATCGACTTGCGTACATTAAAGGAAAACTTGGAAGCAAACCAGAAAGATGTTTATATGTTCAACACCGTCTTAAGTGGTTTTGATAAGGACGAGCTGCCCAAAATTCTAAGTGAATTGAACATTCGCTACGCTAATAAGGATATAGACCCTCGTGAAGTTTTCCAAAATTATGAGCTTCATTTAGCAGGAATCTCTCTTTTCGAAAAGCCGCAGATGGAGTACTGGATCCAATACCTATACATTTATTGCGAGAAAAGAGACGCTAACTCTAAGGTGTTTGAATTCGTGCTTGAGACACTACTGAACTTTTATTCCTTGGAAACTTTGGCGATCGCTGCAAGCAGGGCCCCAGATTACGAAGTCGCGTTGAAACTGGGAAAAACAATTACAAACCACTGGGTATCACAAGGTAAGACGCCAAATGATGTCTTCACTATGCTCGACCTTGACAAAGGATTCGACAATTGTCGAGTAGATTTTTGGGTAAATTACTTTACCAGTCACTATTTTATGCAATCCAAAAGACCCAATTTATTGGAATTAAAGAAGGTTTTACGAGAACAACCTTTGGGAGTCTTTTTAAGATACGCTAAGGTATCTGATGTCACTCTTTCTCTAGTAGAAGAAGAGAAAAGTAGTTTGCTAAAATTCTGGAAAAACTCCAAAATTCCTATCAACACTGTGCTTAAGGAGGTGGATTCGATAAAGAAAGAAGGTAAGAACACGGTGTATGGAAGCGCAATAATGCAAGCTGCAATTGAATATTATGCTTTACATCTGGAGAAGGCCATCACAGAGGAACCTTGAAGCTGCTGATCCCGCGATTTATGCGCATAGTCTTCGGAGGTCGGAGAACTTGTGTGGCTTTGCTGCTAAGGAAGCCTTGACTAGTCATCATAGTTACCTACCTACTCGATAAATGTATTTGTTTTCTAATAATTTTACCATTTCCTTTTGCTAATTTCTGATGCAACACTGGATGTGTGTCAGGGCATCTACAGTTACACGCAAACATTAAGAAATATACTTAATGTTTGGTCTAAAAGTATCCATGATTACTTTTGACCTGTCACTTGGGTGTGATACACAAATGTGATCCACCACGTGAATGTGATATCCATTGATGGATTCACATAGGAAGGGATGACGCTAGTTGAAGCTAGGCATCGCGACGTCCCAGAAGGACGTCATTCGCGAGCATTTAAGATCATGCGTCAGGATACGCTTCTAAAGAGTCGCGTATCCGATCTATATACATATATAGCCAATCAGTAGTTAAGTTTATATTTTAATTATAATTCATTAAATGTAGCTCATTCTTGAATTTACTTAAACGAACACACCACGCACGAGAAGTTGAGAAACTTCTGCGTGACGTCGGTGTTCTAAGTGTTAAGAAGTTCGTTGCACTCTCGCTTAAGCGAGAGGCAACTGGTGGTACGACTGCTTAAGCAGTCGACCAACCTCCCAACCACCCTCGCACGCGAAGGTAAGACGGTATAACCGCTTCCTCGCTTGTGGCATAAGGTGTGTGCTCGTAGTACGAGGCAACTTCGTAGAAGTGCCCGTCTACACTTGGTAGCACTAGTAGTCCTTCCCACGACCCGTCTCTCTGAGCGTGCGTGTGGTTGACATGGTCCTTAATATGGACTGGAGTGACTTCCCTCACCTCTTTCAACATCATAGGGAGTTGGCAGAGCATATGGCGCAGGGACTTGGTGAACAAGCCCTGGTCAATCTCTTGCATTGTCCTCCTGAGCAACATGTTGCTCAGTTGGAGCAATTCGAGGCGTTTGTGCTCAGACAGCGTAGAAACGCGTACGAGGTAAACAGCCAAACCACCGCTGAGTCCATCACTAAGACTCAGGATGAGCTTAGGCTTGAGCAGGCACGGAATGAGGCGCCCAACAGGACTGTTGAGACGCTCTCTGCCCTGCCTACTCAACCGAGGCCCATTCGGATGGACCCTCCGAAGTTCTATGGAACTAGCCCTCACACGATTGTTCACTGGCTATTAGCAGCTGAGCAATGTGGTGTGGCGCTGCTCATCGAAGACGACACCAGGATGGTATGTCGTATGCCATGTCCAACTTGCGTGGCAAAGCGTCAGAGTGTGCATACTCTGCGCTGATGGCAAATGCTGATGCATTCCCATCATGGGCGATATTTAAAACAAAGATTCGCGCCATGTATCAGCCGCCTAACAACGAAGTGTTACTTCAGGCGCGCTTCTTTGGAGCACGACAGGCGAAACGCTCTCTGCAAGAATTTGTGCAGGAGATGCGTTCGCTGTCGGCGTCCATTACTGGGAAACCGATACCAGAGCGTATCAAGGTGGCCAAGTTCATGAATGGACTTAGGCACGGACCATCGCGTCAGGCCCTTTTTAGAAAGGTGCCAGCGACGATGGAAGAGGCAATTGACATTGCCTTAGTTGAGGACCAATCCTACAACAGCGCCTCGGCGACAGCCTATTACAGGCCGTCGTCCGAGAAGTCTGATGCCACTCCTATGGAGTTAGGCAATGCAGATGTGTTCTGCTACAAGTGCGGCAAGCGAGGCCATATGATGGCTCGCTGCTATGCCAAAGTAGCTTCTGGTGCTAAGGCAGCCAGCAAAAGGTCTCCCAACCCGAAGGGAGCTGCAAAATACCAGCGTGAACGACGCACGGGTTCAGCACCTGCCCAAGATGGGTCGGGAAATGCGGGAGCGCAGTAGGGGCGGGATGCCCTACTGTTGCGGACTCTGAAGCTACCTCTAAGTTCAGAGTGATCGAACAAATGGGTAGCATAGTCCCTGAGGTTCCGAAAGGTCGGACCTCAACCCTTTTGGTCTATAGCGCTCGAGTACGAGGCTATGACCAAGTGATGACCCTTCTCGTGAAGTCGGGTGCACCAAAGCAATTTGTGAAACTTGCGGCCCTGAAAAAGAGTCCGGCGAGTTATGAGTCGCTTTGCCAGGATGGCAAGCGAGAAGAGGCGATCGTTCGTTTAGCGAACGGCGCGCTCGTTAAATCGGAGGGAGTTCAAGTTGAACTCGCCTTCAGTTTCAGTGACTTCTTTTGTAAAGAGGAGTTCACAGTGCTAGGTATGGAGAGTCCGTATGAACTCATCCTAGGCATGCCTTGGTTGGCTAAACACCAACCATGGATAGACTGGCGTACACACACAGTCGATAGCTCTACGCAAGACACCGGAAAGGATGTGCTCCTGCGAGAGGCTTATGTGGCTGATGCTGTTTTTAACACATTCTTGGGTGCGATGACGGTTTGCCAATTGACACCGGGTACTATCAGCCCGTTGAACCTGGAGTAGTTGGAAGTGTTCTGGCAGAAAGCCAGGTGACAAATATTCCCACCCAGGTCGAAAAGACTGGTGTAGTGAATGGGGCGATGACAAGTAGTCATGCGTCCAATAGTCCTGCAAAAAGCTGAGATCCTGCGGCAGTTGATAGTGGGCTGACAGGAAGTCAAGCGCCCCAAGAACCGGCACAGAGCCATGAACCTGGTGCGGTTGGAAATAGTGCGTTGGCTAATACATCAACAACACCTTCTTCCAGGTTAAAGGTCGTGGTGACTCGAAGAACGAGCACCAGACGTATTAAGACGATCAAAGGCACGTCGAAACGAGTGACCCTTGGATCAGTCTCGGTCCAAGAGGACGGACCTACGAACGAGTTGTTCGAGGCCGTCTAAGACAAAATGCCGGAGGCATCCTCAGTTGAGGTGCTCCAACTTGTCTTGGCATCTGCCGAGAAGATAGTAAATCTCTCGGAGATGACGTGGGATCTGTTCCTGTCCGAACTAAAGGAAGGAAAGATCCACGAGATAGTCGCACCAGTTCCAGAAGAGAACGTGGTGGACTGTTTCTCTTCATCCACAATGGATGAGAGCGTCTTGGAGACCGACATAAAGGAGGGGTTCGCTGTTCAAGGCTGGGATGCTTTGAAGGACAGTCCGTTCTACGATGTTCTGTGGAAACACTGTGATGTGTTTCCAGCAGAAGTGCCGAGCCGCCTACCGGCCGATAGGGGCATCAGCTCGAGATTGACCTGAAGCCTGGCACCAAGTATTGTGTGAACAGGCAATGGCCGTTGCCGAAGGAATAAATCGATTACATCGATGAGTTCTTCGACAAGCGAGCCAAGGCGGGACATGTACATGAGAGCAAGTCGCCTCATTGCAGCCCGACTTTCTGTGTGCGTAAAGCAAAAGGTGTATGGCGCGTGGTTCATGATTATAATAAGCTGAACACGGCCACCATTCCGGCTCAAACGCCGATCCCGCGGAAAGATGTCTTGTTGAATTCCATGGGAAAGTCAACTATCTTTTCCGCGTTGGATCTGAAGGATGGCTAATATCAGGTTCTCATGAAAGATACTGATGTAGCCAAACCGGCAGTAACCACCCCAAGCGGTATGCTGTGGAGTGGATTCTCAAACAACGTAGGAGATCCACAAACACACACAGCGCCGGACTGCCGACTTACGGAGGGGGTACCTCGATACCGTGTCGTATTGGCCTTGGGTCTCACCTTGTGTACCCGTCGGCTTGGCTGGTCTTGCTCTCGTTAGACGCAGAAGACTTAAAGACTTGGTCTTTGTATAGGACTTGGACTTGGTGGTCCCCGAGTGGATATACTTCACTTGGGACCGGGTTTCTTGGGCTCAATCGACTTAGTCGAGAGCGATGCACCTGGTACTGCGTACCCCTTTGGTGGCTGACTGTTCTTGGTCCTTGGACCCCTTTGTGCTCTTCCCCGTAGGGAAACCGCTTCCTGTAGCGGGTCGTAGAGTGTTGACACTTACTTGACACCTCAGGCCAACTATCCTGAGGTTCAACTTGCGTTGCTTGAGCCGTCTAACACCTGCTGGACGTCGGGGGCCAAAGGGTATCCCGCCCGGAAGAGGTGAAGCGACGGAGAAGCTTAGGAGGAGCGCTTAAAGCTGCCACGTGTAAAGCAAATTCGAGTGTGTTTATTTACCTTATACTTTGTATGCTTTTCTTGCCTACCCTTGACCCTTTGATCTAGATAGTGCCCCGTGTCGACTCTTGAAGGAAAAACTGGCTCCTTGGTACCCTGTACTTTCTGTAATCTTCGATATTCTGTGTACCGGTTCTACACCCTCGGACATTGGGCCCTGGTACCCCTGGGCCTCGGTACCCCTGTTCCCCTGATCCCCGGTAATACTGAGCCCCTGTACCCCTGGTCCTCGGTACCCCTGGGCCCTTGTTACCTGAGGTCCACCTGTTACCAGGGGTCCACCTGTCACCTGGGTCAACCTGTTGCTTGGGGTCCACCTGTTACCTGGGGTCCACCTGTCACCTGGGTCAACCTGTTGCCTGGGGTCCACATGTTACCTGGGGTCCACATGTTACCTGGGTCCACCTGTTACCTGGGGTCCACCTGTTACCTGGGTCCACCGGTCACCTGGGTCCACCTGTCACCTGGTTCCACCTGTCACCTGAGGTCCACCGGTCACCTGGGTCCACCTGTTGTCTGGGACCCACCTGTTACCTGAGGTCAACCTAAACTGCCCTAGCAGCTGGTCCTTTGGTCTGTAGTGTAGGGGATCCTAGTACCTTCTTCGAACTTGAGACCTTGGACCAGTTCGGGGCCCTGGTCACTCCCTGTCACTCATTCAAGAGAGTGGCCGAGATCTTTCACGCCAGTTATTATAATAACTACGAAGGGCCCCCATTTTTCTGGCACTTCTCCACAGCTGTCCCCTGCGCGCTGGTCTTCCGAACTGCGGCAAGACCCCGTGCATCCTTGTCCCGTCTCCTCAACATATAAGTAGGTGTCCAT